CAACGGTTGATGGTGGGGAAACATCAAGCTTCTCTGTCTATATTATACCGAGTGGAACCCCTGATCGCTTTAATTCGAGTGCGTTTGTACAGACGGCGTCCACCCTTTCGAAAGAAAAAAAAGCCAACCCGATGACTGCATTATACGATAGCTGCAAGCAGCTATCATCTTTATTCGCAACTCAGTCATCTCGGCGTCTAGCGATGATGCCTGTTCTACGCCGCTCCCAAGTTCGACAATTTGACGTTGTGCATCGTCCTTCTCCTGGATGAGCCGCTTGCAGTTATCGTATAATGCAGTCATCGTGTGAGTCTTTTCTTTCCCAAGGGTGGACGCCGTCTGTAAACACACTCATATCATAGGGTTCAGGGGTTCCACTAGGTATGGTATAGCCAGAGAAGCTTGCTTCTCCCCCATCAACCGTTGATGCCTTCCTTGGTTCTAAATTATTTTCGCTTTTGCTCTGGTAATTATTTCTGGGTCACACATATAGTCAAAGCATGGCGGCCTTTGCACACGCAGTGGCTTTATTCGGGCAAGTGATCGGCGTCGATGTGTAGTGGTTGCGCACGCGTTGGAAGGGGATTGGATATACATGAATCCGACAATAACGCGGTTCTAAGTCCAAAGGATTGCAATAGAATGGAAAGGTGGGCTAGTTGGTAATTCATGATGGTTCAGCAAACTGGGAGCGCAGGGTTAAACACAGACACAAAACAAAGAAGAGGCACACAGCACGAGCGCTCGCGCTGTGTGCCTCTTCTTTGCTTTGTGTCTGTGTTTACCCCCGCGCTCCCAGTTAGCTGAACCATCATAATTTGAAAGGCTGTTGGCGAATGAATGAGTCTGTTTTGCATCCTTGTCCAGAGTTTCGGTGGTTTTTTTTCTAGTATGTATATGTGAAGCAGCCGTCCCAGCTTTTCACAATCCTATTGTGAAGTTTAGATTCAACTGCGGTGCCACCCAAAAAGGCTCGAGCTTCTCAGAAGAGGAGCTTGTGATAACCACGCTTCTTCCAGCTTTTAAACTCGGTCGTCAACTCATCTGCTTGACCTACTTCGCAGTGAAGGCGGCATCAGCTTTTTAATAAATATGCTAGCTATCTAGGTTTTCATGAACATTGCGCTGAACGCTTTCGTTCTCATTGATATGGTTTCAACTAAAAAAGCAATAATTATGCCTGGTGTAATAAGCAAGACCATCGTTAGTATAAAACTGTTTAACATAATTCTTATCAGCAGGAACCTTATAGTAAATGTATAAGTAACATCAAGTTAGCGGGATTTTACTTAAGTTGTTCATCATGAACGGCATATTTATTAGCAATGTTTAGTTGGTGCGATAAAACTTGTTGCGCTGGTTGGTTATTTTTCATTTTGTAAGAAAATAAGCGCAACTTTGACTCACGCAAACACTCATACAATCACTTCTTCATCCACCCAAAAACGCACACGACAGTTAGCGCTCTACCAGCATGCTTTAATTAGCACGGTTCTAGTTTTACCTGGTTTAAATACTATAGTCTTATAAGATGTCACGTAACTACTTCGGTCTTACCCCTATTTGGCTTAACACAAGGTCATAGCATGTCCTGGCCTTACTAGCCAAGTTTTTCGCACAGCCAAATAGGTAATTTGCCGGCCGCATACACTCAAATAATAGCGGACGATGATAACAAAGAAAACGCGCACCGGCCGTGCAGCTCGCTAGAATGTACAGGCTGACCATGATGATTAACACGTGGCCTAAGATTTAGGTATTTTGCGGTGTTGTGAGTGACTTGGCCAGAACAAATCTCAGAGGCCACCGCGCTGATTATTCTAAAGTTGACTTAGTGCATGCATTAAAAGCATCAAAATGAAAACATTCCTGCTTTTAAAAGGTACCATAAAAAAGCTACTGACACCTTTATTGTATGGGTGAACTTCGGCACTCAGTGCACGGGCCAGCAAACAAATGGAAGACTCCTCTGGTTTGAAAACACCATCCAACTTTGCCAACCATCCTTGACGCGATGCCGGGTTCCATTTTAGCCAATAAAACGCAGTGCGCTGAGGGGTGGATTTTCCTTTTTTGACTATCGGAACATTTAAATCGGGGCGTCGCCAGAGCTCAGAAAGATCCTTACTTTCGCCAAGCTCGGCCGATGCTGCATAGCGCCCAAGAACTTGGTGTTGCTCTCTTTTCTATAACGATTTTTCGCTCCGCTGTACAATGTCACCACTTCTAATTAGAGATCCTGGGGAAGTTTCAATAGTCGTCTATTGTGTCCTTATGTAGGCAATTTTCCTTATGTAAACAGGAATCTCTATCATTTGATTTTTAGGCCAGTGGCCTGAAAACTGTTTTGAACTTACCACAAATGAGTGATATATCCTTTTGTGAGCAGGGAATAATAACCCTACTACGAAAAGTGAATGTAAAGTCAGCCCCCGGACCGGATCACATTTCGAATTATGTATTAAAGAATTGTGCTGCATCGTTTGCCCCTTTTCTAATGATTCTCTATCAAAATTCATTTGATTCCGGTGCTTTACCATGTGACTGGAAAACTGCAAATGTAATTCCTATATATTCGAAAGCGGCATTAACACACAGAGTTAAAACTACGGACCTATTTCACTAACTAATGTTTCATGCAAGGTACTAGAGCATATCATTTACTCTAACCTAATGGCTCGTCTCCAAGAAAACAATTTTTTTCACCCCAGCACAGCATGGTTTTAGGAGCGGTCTCTCATGCGACACTCGATTAAGTTTTCTCATGATATAACTCTGTCGATCATTAATGGCAAACAGGTGGACTCTATTTTCTTAGACTTCCAAAAAGCCTTTGACTCGGTAGCACACAATCTCGGTAACACACACTTGTAAAACTGTCTGCACTTAATATTCCTACGGCTCTTTTCCAGAGGGTTGAGGCTTACCTTACTGACCAAAAACAGTGTATTGTTCTTAACGGAACGACCTCATCACATAAAACAGTCTTGTCAGGTGTTCCTCGGGGATCTGTACTCGGGGCTCTTCTTTTTTTTTTTGATATTTATCAATGATATAGGTGAAGGAGTATCAAACCGTCTCTCTCAGATTGTATGCCGATGACTGTTGTCTTTACCATGAAATTAATACTTTGAATGACAGCGTACAACTACAAAGTGACTTCGACAAGATACTACTATGGTGCAATACGTGGAATATGACGCTAAACTTTTCTAAATGTAACATTGTCCAGTTTTCTACAAAACGTTACACTTTAAATATGAAATACTCACTTGATGGCGAAAGCCTCACGATTGTACTCAGCTACAAATATTTAGGGGTTTTATACAAAAATGACTTTTTCTGGAATGACCATATTGATTACGGAGCAGCGAAGGCTAGTCGGGTCCTCAACTTCCTAAGATGAAACTTCAAGCAAGCTCCTCCGAAGTCAAAAGAAATTCTTTACTTTTCAAATGTTCGCACTATATTAGAATATGGATGTTCTGCTTGGGACCTCAGTACAAAATTATGTATTGACGACTTAGAGCGCGTCCGAAAGCGTGCAGCACGATTTTTGTCATCGAACTATGATTTCAGAGAAAGCTCTTCCGACATACGGGACAATCTTGGATGGCCGTCTTTGCAGGACAGGTGGAAATACTTGCGCCTGAAGCTGTTCCACAAAATTTTTATAGGTGCAACAGGCTTAAGGAAAGACACGTACATACTTGATCCTACCTATAGATTTGCCCACGTCGATCATTTCCTGAAGGTTAGGGAATATAGGTGTCGGATCAACCTATATAAACATTCCTTTTTTCCGAGCACAGCGCATGACTGGAATTGTCTCCCGAAGCAAGTTGTACTGTCGTTGCCGACTTCCTTTGATGAAGCCCTCGCAGAATGTTTGTTTAACTAACTAGGCTTTACATGGCATATGTGAGATATTTTGAACTTTAGCTCACCATTTAAAGCTTCTGTCAAGTTGTGTTTTCTACTCTGTCTTTCTTATGAGGTTATGTATCTATAAAGTTAATTTATGTTTAAAAGTTTACTTTAATATTATGTTTTGTTGCTTTTTCGTGTTGTACAACCTGTATCAATCTCTTAGTAACGTGATGTTTAGTCTTTTATAACATTACTTATGTTTAGAGTGCTGATGTTATCTTTATTCTTACAGAGTTTTTGTTGCTTTTCATGTTGTATATACTACCCGTATCTTTTCCTGTTTGTTTCCCCCCTACAATAATGCCCAGTTGGGCGCTGTAAGTTTCTGAATAAATGAATAAAATAAAGACAAGAGGAGGGGCTCTTTTAACACAAAACAGAGCCGACGAGTGAACTTGACCAGGCGCACACATGCATAATTTGTGGTCAAGGGCTATAGAACTAAGCCATGGGCGAATAATGAAATCTTCAACTTGCAATACAGGCAGCTTGGATGGTACTTAGAAGTGTAGCAGTTTGGGCTAGTTGGTATGACATGAGTATAGTTATAGCACGAGAACAGAACGACGACAATTTCTTCTTTTCTCTTTGTCGTCGTTCTGTTCTCGCGCTATAACTATCGTCAATGAATGATACTTCACAAGAAGAACCAAGACACACAAACATCAAAGACTTGATGAGCCTTTTCTAGTTGGCTGTAAAAGTGTAGGGAGGTAATGCGAGCGATGAGCTCACAAGATTTGCAAAGGGTTCGACGAACGTCTCTAGTATTACTAATAAATCATTAAAATATTTCTATCACAGGAAGTGTACCTATGAGCTAGGGCATGGACACTAGTTCCTTCAATTAAAAAAGATTATTATCGCAATTTTCTATACGTACTTTCATCGGTAATGCCAGTGAGAGTTTTACAAAGCGGTGAGCGATGTGTATGTTATATCACATAGAGCCTGTAAAGATATTTTGCGTGCTAGACTATACAATAGCTAAATTTCGATTAACGAACAGTCAGCAACTCTTCCGGCTGATTCCAACAGCTCACCTTGAATTGCTTAAGCAGCAAGCTCACCTTGAACTGTTTCAGCAGCAATGTGTCTCTTGTGTGGCAGGCAGATTCGAAGTATCGCTTTGCGCGGCAGGTATGCTTGCCATCACAAGGTTCACGAAGAAGGGCCTCTATTTGACGGCAGGTGATCACATGTTGACTCTGTGTGCAAAAACAAAGGCTCCTTTGCAGAAAAGACCCGGTTCACAAAATCAAATATTTCGGCTACTTGGATCATATAAGGAATGCAAGGTAAGAGCACCACAATATGCAGTAAGTGGGAATATATTAACTTTATTTCCCCAATAATTAGAAAGACATCAGTGACGCATCACGAGATAGGCTCACACATGGCTGCCAAGAAAAAGATCGTGAGGCTAGTGCCGAACCTGCAGCACAGCCACAGTGAGAGGTGGACGAGTCGCCATTCTAGAGCCTCTTTTGACCACTCTCGATAAAACTGCTACTGGCACACTAGCATAGTGTTCATTACAATATAAAGCACTGTATTTTCCTTATAGTGGGGAAGCATAAACTATTGACGATACTAATTAGGCACTCGCCACCCAGTGGCCGCACCTCGAAACGGCACTAACAGGGTCAACCTTGAAAGGTGACATGTCAAACGTTGCGCGCGTTGAGTTGACTTAGTTATTTTATTTTTGCCATGCCGCGCCACTAGTAATAGTAGTAGTAGTGGTAGTAGTAGTAGTAGTAGTAGTAGTAGTAGTAGTAGTAGTAGTAGTAGCAGCAGTAGTAGTAGTAGAAAACTTCATTAGGTACATATTCCAGACAGACTAGAGCTCCAGTGCCCGGAGCCAGAAAATGAAAAAAAGAGATTTCCAGAGACCATTGCTTTGTGCGGCATGGTACCGAACAGTGTTGCAAAATGAACGATTCCATTCCATTACAATTTTCTCTCGGGGAATAAGAACTTGTTTCAATTCCATTACTGTCAGTTCTTTAAAATGAAAAAAAAAACTTAGCACGTTGAAGCTTCAGGAATTGCCGAGCAGATCAATTCTGTATTCTTCAACGTAGAAAGGGCATCTTGAACATTTTAACAAGTTAAGAATGAACGCCCCAAAAAGCAGAAGTCATCAGCTAAGGCCGGATTTTTAGGCATTAAATAGTGTGTTTTAGGTGCCAAAGACAGGCAGGTAAAACACCTTTTTAGGCCCTCGAAATCATAACTATAGGCACAATTTTTTTTTTACAAAAATCAAAACATCCCAAAACAACGACATCGGTGACTTGTATGTACGGCAAGAAGCAAAAAAATGATATTGCTCTCAGATAGCAAAAAGGTACCATTGATTGAACATAGGCATGCATTTCCCACACAATTCACAATATGTGGTCTTTCGTTTTAATGTGTAGCATTGTGCGCCAAGTGTCCACCATTCAATTGGCACTCTCTTGGGTCTCTTTCATTTTGTTGTGGCTGAGAAGAGCATCGCAGGAGCAAATAACCAAGTCACTGACACCCCAGAAGAAAGACATGCTAGGTCTAATCGCGTATGACCAATTTATTCCCTATCGGTGAACACCTGAAGGACCCCTCACTCCGCTGCGGCATTTTGAGCTGACAAGTGTAGTGGTGCGCTGGGCCCTTCGGATCATTACTGTTTATATTTGCAAAACTACATGTTGCGGAACATGCTCATTTTCTAATGAATGCCACTTGCTCTTCTCGCGCGCGTGCGCCCCAAGATCTAGAGCGTGACGTACAGCAAGGAATGGTCCTGTTTTTATGTCACTCTTTTACGTGACCTTGCTTACACATGTTGTGCTTAGTGCGTATGCATCATGTGACTCTCCAGCCCCGGTGCCGAAGAGAGCAGGGAAGGAATGAGGCTGGCGATGGATACATAAGACGAGAGGGAAGGGATTTAAGCTTGCTTCTTCGCATCATGTTTTGGTGACTCGTAGCGAACCAATTTGAAAAATCACCATGGTAAAACACTTTCATTTGGGCACGCAAGAACTTCTAGTGTCTACCTACAACTCAATATGTCACCTGAAGAGGGACGCCTAAAGAGTAAATTACAAACAAAACAAAAGCCGCATGCACATCACATTTTTTACCTGAAGGTGCCGCAGGAGATGGGTTACGATGTCAAAGAAAACAGGCTTTTATTCACACAACACACTTTGTTCTCTTAATAAGTCATTTCATTTTGTCATGAAACTAACAAAAAACGAATCAATAGAAAAAGTATATGTGGTACGACATTCTAAAATCTTAATTACCATTGTGCGAAGAGGACTGTATAGGTACATTCATTTTCGAATGCGAGTTGTACCATGAAATGCTTGACATAGGAGCTTTAACCAACTATAATGCGACGGGATGATAATAAATCCCATCCTACTTTATTTTTGCTATCGTTAGAGCTTTCACATTTGAGTAATGGCTTAGAAAAAATCGTTGATGCCCTGTTCTGTATTTTTTCAAGTTTGTCACTTAAATTCATATGCCAAGGAATCTCATATGGCACAAGCGTATTAACGCATAGGGTGAATGTATCCTAAATACAGCATTGACTGTAAACATGCCGGTGCCTGTATCACGCTTTGCTGTACAAAGTAAAATAATTTGGCGACCTTCGCCCCAACTAAATCAACAAGAGCTTTCAATGAGTGGCCCTCCATGGTTTTTCATTCATTCTCCAGCTATCCACGGTTGCTTAAAAAACCTGCTCTTCCTTTCCCACCACAACACCTAGGTTTTCAGGGCGGTTCTTCAAATCCTTCTGGGCACTGGACAGCTGTCCGCAGAAGGCGGTCGCCACGTCCTCGGCCATAGACGTGACTTTTATTTTATTACCCCATCTTTATTTATCTCCCCTCCTTCTCCTGCATACGCTGAGCTAGACGTGCTTCCACTTAGGGCCGCAGAAATAGCATTTTTTGCACTCCTCATACTCTTCCTCCAATCGCTCGCAGCATGTCAGCTTTGTCTTTGTTGAACCTTGTAGTGTTCGGAAGTATCAATGTTGGCCTTTTTAACATAAATAACGGTTGAACACTATGCTCGAAAACAAAAATTGGACTTCAATAGCGCTCATCTAGGCGCTCATTCGAAAAATAGGTGTTTATAGACACATATTGGCATTTAGGCACGAACACCAAGAATAGGCAATTATAGGCACTATAAACACACCATAAAAGCCCCTCTTAACCTCTAATTTATGCTCATATACCAAAATGGCACCACAAGAACGCATGGGACAAAATAGGCATTTGTCTACAGTCCAGTCTCTAGGACTCATCAGATGAGTCCTAGAAACCATCTAGGACTCAAAACTGACATTTTGGCAGTGGCGGTCGTGGCAGCAGGAAGTCGAGTCCACTGAGCAACGTTCTTCCTTTGCGCAGGTGCTGACTTGTGCATATCGTGAGAGTTGTCTGGTTCGGCTCTTCGGGCTATCGGGATATTCTCTGGATTTCTCGACCCGTCTACTTGGAATATCTGGTCAAGCAACGTCACTACCCTGTCGCTACAGCCACAAAGAACGAACTTTCTGCGCAAGCACAGACTGCGAGGACACCTACCGGAGACACTACTTAGGCTCAACACTGTGCTCGTGTAGCCACATTTTGGCAGTGGCAGTCGTGGCAGCAGGAAGTCGAGTCCACTGAGCAACGTTCTTCCTTTGCGCAGGTGCTGACTTGTGCATATCGTGACAGTTGTCTTGTTCGGCTCTTCGGGCTATCGGGATATTCTCTGGATTTCTCGACCCGTCTACTTGGAATATCTGGTCAAGCAACGTCACTACCCTGTCGCTACAGCCACAAAGAACGAACTTTCTGCGCAAGCACGGACTGCGAAGACACCTACCGGAGACACTACTTAGGCTCAACACTGTGCTCGTGTAGCCACATTTTGGCAGTGGCAGTCGTGGCAGCAGGAAGTCGAGTCCACTGAGCAACGTTCTTCCTTTGCGCAGGTTGGTTGTGCATTAATTGCACCGCTGATTTTTGCTTCTACTTTTGTTGTCGCGACTGCTGCTGCCAGTGGTTATTGTGCTGTAGTCGCTGTTACGTTTATATGATGCCGTCAAATGCTGAGCTGTCACGCGAAGTGCAACAGCTTCGAGCTGAAATTGAACAGCTTCGTGAAAGTGTCTCTGCCATCAGCACTTTTTATGAAGAAATGAAAAAGAAGCATGAGCTCACCTCAGCCGAAAACAAGTCTCTTCAAAAATCAAATGATGAACTGGCTGCTAAACTGGCTGACATGGAACAGCGTTCGCGACTTAACAACGTTGAGATAAAGGGTGTACCATTAAAAAAGGGGGAAAATTGCACCACCATTCTTCAGAAAATGCGTGATGTAATTGACTGTTCCATAAAAAAGGATGATATTGACGCTGTGCATCGCGTGCCAGCAAAAAAGGACACGAACATAATCGCGAGGTTTTGTTTTTGGGTCAAGAAGGATGAATTTTTGCGTAAAGCACGCAGGGCACGTCTAACAACCAAGTCACTCGGTTTTGCTCAGTCACAAGGTGCCAATGTGTACGTTAATGACCACCTCACACCCAACAACAAAAGATTGTTTGCACAAGCGCTCTCACTAAAGAGAGAAAAGCAATGGAAGTTTCTGTGGGTGGACAATGGTCGCATCAAGGTGCGAAAAACTGAGGACAGCCGAGTTCACGTCATCGCCAGCGTGCAGGACCTCTCAGTAATGAGAGAATAGCCACTGTTAATGACCAAAGCGACTCTTACCTAAAGAGAAAGATGGCAGACAAAGATTACGTGACACTCAAAAAATTAGACGCATTACTTTCCACGAAAAAGAATGGCTTGTCCTTCCTTCATCTCAACGCACAATCTGCACGAAATAAAGAAGACCAAATAACCGCCCTTATTTCAACTATACGCTCTGAACCTCATGTTCTTATGATGACGGAAACATGGTACAGGGATGAATCTGAGGTTCTAAGATCACCCGGCTATGAAACCTTCTTTTTGAATCACCCAACAAAAATAGGAGGTGGTGTTTTGATGATGGCTAAAAACTCAGTAAAATGTAGGCTGGTTCACGAGTTTTCGCATGTCACTAATGATTATGAAATATTGACTGTACAAAGTGACGGTTTTGTTTATGGTGTGTTATACCGCCCTCCTAGTGGTAACAAGTCGAGCTTCTT